CCAAAGTCACGGGGGAGCTCATAATAGGCCACACAGACCACACAGACAGTACATATGTCCCCCAGAGAAGGGCTCCGTCCCCAGCTTCCCCACCCCACATGAACAGCCAACCACGGGTACCATGCATCAAACACCCAAGGAGTGACATGCAAGTCACACTGCAGGCCCTCTCCACAGGGAGCTATGATGGCCAACCACTGGCAGCGGGGGGTTGGAGAATCTATGACCGCAGCCAGGTTTTCTTTTCCCCTGGGTGTCAGGGCAGGCAACAACAGGTTACCATTTGTCCCCATACCTGGTCAGAGCAGGTCATCCTTCGTATGTATCTACAACTGAATGGGGATGGTGGCCCGGTGTAACAAAGCCTCTAGCGGGGCTGGGATGCCTTTCTGTGTTCATTCATTCAAGGTTTGGAGCACTATGTCCAGCCCAGAACTCCAGCCCCACAAAGATAGGGGTGTGACATGCAAGCATAACCCAATCTTCAAGAGCCCATTATATCACTCAATCATACACACAGCTTGTGAGTCGTACAGCACATGGAATCCCCACTTTATGTCCATTTGTTGTGCCCATTTTTATACCTGTCGTCCAGTGAAATGTGTTCCCTTAACACTCTCGATGGTCAGAGGGTGACGACACAGGGCACATAAGTGTTGCAGGGTCTGGATGGTGTTCTGTTGGTTGGCCGCCCTGCAAGTGTAGGTGAACATCAGGCCTGTGGCCATATCCACAGCTGTCAGCACATGCGTATACCCCAGCGGCTTCGGCAGCAACCGAATGCAGTCTACTTGCCACCTAGTCAAGGGCACTTGCCCTAATGTTACTTGTTGTGTAACACTGGGCAGCTGCCTCTGATTACGGTATACCTGAGGACATGCTGGGCATTTCTGACAAGCCTCCCAAATATCTTGCATGAGCAGGCACAGACCCCAACACATATTGGCCTGTTGCATCAGTTTACCCCCTGCATGCCCCAGTTTCTGGTGTAGCCACATGGCCACATCTCATGTACGTGCCAACTCTAACCATCAGAACTTGGTCAAGCCATCTACCTCATCATTGCTGGGGGTGGCCAAAGACATATGGCCTGACAGATGATAAATAGTTACATCTTTCTGATGACCCATTTCCCAGAGGTCTTGCCATATGGCTTGGCCCCAAATGGGTCAGGGGCTGACTAACCACTTCTGTATTTTCCTGGTAGTTAACCACCAGGTTAAACCTCAATAGACCACCCAGCTATCGGTACAGATTACTATAGTTTTCACCTCCTTGGTGATCACCATTCATACTGCTCTATGTTCAGCCCATTGGCTACTTTGTCCACACCCAGTTTCAAAACATATGGTGTCACCATTAGCTTCGACTGCAACAGTGGTCCAGGCAGAAGTAGCACCTCGGCTAGACCCATCTGTGTACCATGCGCCATCGGGAATGGGGGGACACCCTTATTTAAATGGTGAAAGCTCAGGGTCTGGGGTGCCTCAGGCCTTATCTTGCATTAGGACTGCAGGTCCCAAGACCTCTTGCGACTCTGCTGCTAAGGGGCTTGTACTCATCATACTCCCCTGCTCCAAGTAGGCGCCCCACATTGCCAAAGTGGATATCTGCACCGTTCTAGTCCAGGGGGTCGTTACCCATGAATGCACCCATCCTGCTATTGGGTAAGTCATTCACACAATGCAGCCCATCCTGTTACACTCTCACAAGCCTGAAGGGTGGCATATACAGCTGCCAGCTATTTCTCTATCAAGGAATACTGGAGCTCAGCTATCTTCCATAGGGATCAAAAGCCTACTGGCAGTCTCAAATGCTCCTTGTGCTACCACAGGCCTCAACTGAAACCATCTGTGGTCACATGCACACCCAGCTCAAACGGGTGCCTCTGGTCAACTACCCATAGGGCTTGTGCCTGCTGAATAGCCTCCTTGGCTGCCAGGAAGGCAGTCTCAGACACATCATCCTAATCCCAGGTAACTCCCTTGTTAACCAATGCAACTGTTTTATCATTTGAGCTAAATGGGACACAAATGCCTGCCAGTATCCCAGGAAGCCCACAAAAGTTTGCCGGTGCTTCACTGTGGTGGGGCAGGGATATGCCTGAATCTTATCAATGATAGCCTCTGAGATGGCCTTTGTCTTAACCGACCAGATTACTCCCAATACTTTAACAGATAATCTAGGTCCTTGGACCTTGGATTCGTTGATGGTCCAACTGCATGCTGTGAATGTTGCTGCAAGAGGGGTGCTGCCACCTCTAAATCTGCAAGGGAATCAGAGGTTAACATAGTATCTCAATATAATGGAATAGGCAGACCTTCTGGACATTGTCAGGTGGCTAAATCTGTGGCAACTAGACCATGACATATGGTGGGGCTATGCACATAGCCCTGTGGTGTAAAAGTCCACTGTCCCCCATCTCATGTGAAGGTGAACTGTTCCTAGCTTTCTGGAGTAATGACTATGTAGAAAAATGTATTGGCCAAGTCCACTACATAGTGGTACTGTCCCAGTTCCATTGTCAAGTGGTCCATCAAATTCATGATTGACGGTACAGTTGCATGCAAAGGGGGTGTGACTTAATTCAGTTCCTGGTAGTCCACCATCATCCACCAAGTTTCATCAGGCTTTCTAACTGGTCACACTAGAGAACTGTAGGGGTTGTAGGTGCCACACACTATCTGCACCTCCTCCAGCTTTTTAATTGTCTCAGTTATCTCTATATGCCCACCCGGCAAATGGTATTTATTGACAGGTGGAAGTAACCTGCTGAGGTTGTGGCAGGACCTGAGGCTATTGATGGATATGTCTATGCAGCACCGGCTTCCCTACATGCACTCGGAGTCTGAAATACCCTGCCGTGGTTTGTAACATCAGGCCATGTAAAATGTCCACCCCCAGAATGTATTCTGGTATGGGAGAGACATACACAGTAAACAAATGAAGAGCCAAATGGCTGATGCCAAGGTGCAATACAGGTTTCACTTTCACTCACCGCCCTCCATAACCATCACTGTAAGCAGGTTTGCCTGGAAACTTATCCAGGTTCCCATAAACAAGGTTGCAATCTGTGCCAGTATCCACCAGTGCCAGCACCTGCTGTACATTGGTGGGGGAGCAGTGGATCGCTAATTTCACATGTGGCCTCTAGCCATCTGGTGTCCCTCCAAGCTGGGGACCTCAGCCAGTTCCCTAATCAAACAGAAAAGGCTCTACATTTCCACCTAGCTGCAGCAGGTAGTCTTTGAGCTGAAGCACCCGAGAGGGACCAGGTGGCACAGCAAAGTCCTTCTCTCCCTTGGGCATTTTGTGGAATTGCTGCTCCGAAGACAACTGTCTTCACAAAGTTAAGAGTACTTCATTGGGCTGCTTATCAATTTTCTCTTGGCCAACTCCAGCCAAAATCAAATCTATCCACATCTGTGAGCATGTCACTCATTGGGGCCCCCTTTTCTCCCATGGTGGGGTCCCCTGTGGGCAGGACATCTTCCCCTTCTTTACAGTGTGGACCCCTTGGTCCCACCAATGTCCTTCTGCTTCTCTGAGAGCTGCCATAGCAGTACTCACTTCATGTAGGCAGCACACTATGTTCGGGATGAGGACAGCAGCTAGGAAACGAAAGGCACTTGGGGGCGCAGAACCCAATACGAGATCCCTCATGTGGGATGTGAAACGATCATCATCTGGCCCCTAGGTATTCAGGTCAAACATAGCGTGATGGTTAATACTGAGTGTCAACTTAATTTGATTGAAGGATACAAAGTATTAATCCTGGGCGTATCTGTGAGGGTGTTTCCAAAAGAGATCAACATTTGAGTCAATGGACTGGGGAAGTTGAATCCACACTTAATCTGGTGGACACAATCTAATCAGCTGCCAGTGAATATAAAGCAGTCAGAAAAATGTGAAAAGGAAAACACGGGCCTAGCCTCCCAGCCTACACTTTTCTCCCTGGATGCTTCCTGCTGTCTAACATCGGACTCCACATTCTTCAGTTTGGGGACTCGGGCTGATTATCCTTGCTCCACAGCTTGCAGAGAGCCTAGTTTGGGACCTTATGATAGTGTAAGTTTTAATACTTAATAAATTCTCATATATATATATATATATATATATATATATATGACTTGCACTAAATCTGCATACAACACATTTATTTAAGGTTTCAAATATTTCACTGATGTCATTCCACATAGTCCATATGGCTGCCCATAGCCACTCAATCAAGGTGTGCTCATCTTGCCCTTGTGCCAGCCACCTGATAACCTGCAACTGCTGATGGAAGGAGGAGTGAGTCATGATAGAGGCCAACTTTTCCATCTCAGAGGCAGAAAAGGAGACATTATCTGCTTTCTCTTCCCACAAACAAAGCATCCAGGTGGGCAGAGGTTCCCTTGGATGCTGGCAGCACTGCTTGCCTAACTCCTGCAACGCAGTTGGGGTACAGTTGCAAGCAAAGGGGTGTTACTTAATTCAGCTCCTGCTAGTCCATCATCATCTGCCAAGTTTCATCAGGCTTTCTAACTGGTCACACTGAAGAATTGTGTATACGAAGTATGTTGCATTACAGTGGGGAGTCCCTGAGCCTGCCCTTGTGGCCCCAATGGCTTTTCATGATCTACCTTCTGATGGGCCACTGGGAGAGCCCACAATGGGGGTTCTTCCTCCTTGGTATCAGATGAAGTGGAGGTCTCTGGCTGAGACAACCGACCCAGACCTGCATTCACAGCAGCTTCTTCTTCTTTTCTTTTTTTCTTTCTTTTTCTTTTTTTTTTTTTGAGATGGGGCCTTGCTCTGTCACTCAGGCTGGAGTTCAGTGGTGTGATCTCAGCTCACTGCAGCCTCCATCACCCAGGTTCAAGCAATTCTTCTACCTCAGTGGCCCAAGTAGCTGAGATTACAGGGACACACCACCACGCCTGGCTAATTTTTGCATTTTTAGTAGAGATGGGGTTTCACCATGTTGGCCAGGCTAGTCTCGAACTCCTGATCTCAGGTGATCCACCCACCCAACCTCCCAAAGTGCCGGGACTACAGGCATGAATCACTGTGCCTGGCCCATGTCAGCTTCTAATTCCTTTTCCAAGCTCTGTAGCCAGGCATCCAGGTGTCCTGCCTACACCTGGAGGTCCCCATTCACAGCAGCTTCTAACTCTTTTTCTGAGCTGTGTAGCCAGGCCTCCAGGTGCCCTGTCTGAACCTGGAGGGGCCTTACCTGCACTGCATCCCTCAGGGATTGGGTGTGTACTTCTCGCAGTGCAGTCAAAAATGCCTAACCAACTCTGCCAGCAAAGGCTTGTTCCTTCACGGTGCTCTGCACTTCCAGCTGCTTCAGTGCCTTCTCCATGCTCATGGGGGACCTAATCACTGCCGCCCAGGTTTCCACTGAAGCCCATCCAAGCAGCACAGTTGCCACGGGGTACCACAACCTATGTTGCAGCTACATGGCTGACCTGGAATCAGTGGGGACCAAAGGCTCACTCATCTCAAGATCCTGTTCATAATGCCAATTGTCAGGTTCTAACTGAGGTCTGAGGGGAGTCGGTGGGCAAGTGGTGGGTAGCTGGAAAAATATTCAAGGAATCATAGACGGCTTTGACATGGCTTTATTCTCTCTCTGGATGCAACTGAGCTGTATGTATAGCATTAGCAAGGTAACTATACTTTTGATGGACATTAGTGGCTCCAAGCCAAGCACAAGCTCATGTGGGTGATCACCCATTGTGCCTCATGTGATGTGGTTACATAACCCACAGGGTTATGCACCTGCGTTCCAAACCCACTGAGTCACGCTGCACCAGAAGTCCACCTTGGCTTATTCCTGACTAAAGCTCAGCCATTTCTCTTATAAGAATGTTGCCGTTTTCACTTAATGCTAAAGTTTTATTTTTTTTTTCTGCAACATAAATACCTCTCTAGTTCCCCCATGAACTCTTTAATAAAGTCTAAATTGCTACAAACACAATATACCCATGTTTCTTTAAGAAATTCCAAAGACTACATTTAAGACACTGTAGTGAAGCAACAGGTATGGATCTGGGAAGCAAAAGTTTTGAGAAGTCAAGCATCCAGGGTAGTCGCAGAAATTTAGGAGGGGCTTGGTCTTTCACAGGCCATGAAATTGACAAAAGTAAAGGCCAATTATACCTACGTCACTGAGTAGCAGAAGAACTCCAGCTGACAATACTGATAATTATACTAATTAATAATTACTGTAGAATTAGCTACCATTTATGAAGCATTTATAGATGAAGCATTAAGAACCACAGTCTTATAAGCTTAAACTTGGACTACACTTTTATGTCATTTGACCACCAATGACTATGGGTCTCAGGTTATTTTTGCCATTGTTTCTCATTTTTTCTCTTGCAGTCAGCATTATGTTAAGGCCATCTGGGCAGGCAAAGAAGTATGATTCTTCCCTTTAATAAGCCTATAAGCTGAAAAACTTTTATTTCACCCACACAGCAACAATATTCAATAGGGAGGGGAAAGGAAATTCCAAGAAAGTTGGAGGAAGAAGACAACCCAACCTGTTGTCTGAGCTTTTCCTCCGTTCCTCACTGGCATTGTAGTTACACCCTCCAGCTGGCCCCCACTTCACTTGCGACCTCCTCCCATCGACTTTCAACTCAGCAGCCAGAGTGGTCCTTACAAAAAGAACATCTGAAGGTCATACTCTGTCACTCAACCAAATTCACCACTGATTCCCCATTTCACAGAGTAAGCTCCCGTCCTTTACATAAAGGTGCAGGCTTTGCATGACCTGTGCACCAGAGGTCATCTGGATGCTTTAGCCTCTCCAGAGCCAGAAATTTCACATCCTTTCTCATTCCACTCTCCTGTGCCCACTCCACTCCAGCACCAGCCAGTCTCAGCCTCTTGCCCTTCAACCTGCTGTTTTACTCTCAGGTAGTTGCATGATTTCTTCCCACACTCCTGATAATCTCATCTGTGAGGCCTTCCTCACACCACCTAACTCAAAATAGCAAACCCCAACTTCCACCCTCTCATTGCCTCCCCAGTTTATCTGATTTCTTATTCTCCACAACATATTACATTATATTTCTTTGTTGTCTCCCTCTCTTCTCTGGAATATAATTCCATCGGGACAGGACTTGGTTGGTTTTGTTCACTCATATCCAACACATAGAAAAGTGCCTGACATTTAGTAGGAACACAGTTTTGTTTTTAACAGCTTTATTGAGATACAATTGACGCGATTTTACTTTTGAATGAATGAGTATGCGAAAAGAGAAAGTAAGAAAAGTTAAAGGCAATCATTGAAAATTACTTGTTTGAAGCTATGTGTTGGAGATCACCGAGGAAGTATAAGTTAAAAAAAAAAAAAGCACCCATTAAAACAATTTTATCACGGCTCACATATGATCAATAAGAACATAGAGGGATTGAACTAGGGGGCAGGACTTTAATAATAGAGAAGTGATTGTGAATTTTAAGATTCTAAAACCTAAGCAATGATGTCACCATAAAAATGCGTAACTATTCACCTGGACCATTTCAAACTGTTCTTGGAAAAAAAAAAAAAAAAAAAAAAAAAAAAAAAAAAA